TGAATGTCTTATGTGAAGTATATATGCTTGAGCGATTTGAAATTTGGTAAGTTTTCACTGGACAAAAAATAAGAAAATTTTCAGTTTTTCGCACGTCCGAATGTTCACAGACTTCAGCTTCTAACCCGTAATATGCTGAAGCTGGTGCAAACACTTACAAGCCATCTTATAGAGCTTGCTTTGCTCTATCGAACGCTGCCCTGCATTCTAATCAGAGTTGAGAAGTGTGTGACTTGTTGCGGTAGAAACTTAAAATTTATAAAAGGACTTATGAAACAACCTGATACTTTGTTTTTACCGTCGATTTTAGGTTCGTTTGTTCGCTATGTGCTGTTTATTGATAATTTGCCTTAATCATTTGCTCTTGAACTCGCTTATCTCTTAGATTGGACAAGCAATCTACATTTAAAGAATGTAAGTTTATCTTTTGTTGCAAGTGATTTATGGTACCATCCATTCACTTCTAGTTCACTTTTCTGTGTCAACCTCTCTACGGGGTTCAGAGTCAGCATCAGAAGATGACTTACTATCATATTTATGTTGAGCTTTTTTATATGACCTCATTGTAGGTCTCTGAAATTGTCTGCACTGTTTTCTGTTCGATATTGTACCTGATAAATGCTATTAAAAGAATTTTTTGTTCAAAGAAATTTTATCTCTCAGTAAACTGTCCACCGCACAAGTATAGGGATTAGTTTTTGGATGTGAAAGGGGTATTCGGAAATTCTGGGGTCAAGGCGAAATTCGTTTTTGAAAACCTTTCTTGCCCACCTTGTGCCGGGCCAGATTATCAGTGAATTCCCTGACTTCATTTACGGAATTCACGAAATTGGCGAATTCTGTTTGTTCAGACGTGGGCCTCTTTAAGATTTCACCTATCCATGCTTGTTTTGCATCTCTTGTATGCTTGTACGTAAGAAAGGAATTTTTTTCTGAATCGCCCTGGACGAAATTTTGCACTATACGTTGGGCGGTATATATAACTTATCATTGTTGATAGCATCGCTTTTTTCGTAAGTACCAAGCATGCTGACGACTACAGTGCAATCATTAGGGGTAATCAATTTTGTCAAAATGGTGCTTTTATCTTTTAATGGTTTGCGACTTTGGAAAACGGGAAATTGTGAAGTGTTAGAGATATCAGACAGAACGTGGGAAAAAGTACCAGATGCTTCGACCTTATTGGAATTCTTCCCTGGTAGGCTAAATTGGTGTAAGAATTTTTATTAAGAATTGAAAGTAAAAGTTATCTGGCTTTTGCAAAGATTGCAGGTGTGGAGCGAGTAGAAATTAATCATATGATATATCAAACATATGACTATATAGTACCAGTCAACGCCTTATTAACCTAAATCGTCGAAAATAAAACTGCTGATATAATTAATCAAGCTTGTGCTTTGTGTGATGGCACACCTATCATTACAACTTTTTTGGTTCAAATCCTAACTGAGTTCCAATAAGAAAGGTTTTTTTATAATATTACGTCACAAAAAGGACCTTCTAACACCAGCATGTGAAAATAAGACTAGCTAACTGCTTCAGCAACATAAGCAGCAGTTGATCACATGCTCAGACAATCGCTGGGGGCAGGCGGGCACCGGAAAAATAGATTGCTGATTTCTCGCACCCCGCTCGCGGATTTTTTGTAAAGCAATCAGGACTTTTCGGGAGACCGCTTGCTGAGTCAGCGGATTTTTGAGAGACCGCCTGTTGAATTTTTTTCGCTCTTATCTTTTGCAGATATATTGCTGAATCTCTGAGGAATCGAGAACTCAGCAAGCGGTCTTCCGAAAAGTCCTGATTGCTTTCCAAAAAATCCGCAAGCGGGGTGCGAGAGATCAGCAATCTATTTTTGCGGTGCCCGCCTGCCTCCGGCGATTGTCTGAGTGAGCGACTTGACGCAAAAATGCAAAATCTATTAAAAGTGTCTTGCATCCTCATGTTTTTCATCAGAGTTCACCACATTATGCTAAACATTGTTACAGGCATCTCCTTACCATTCATTTTGAATTGAAGAGGTTCTTTGGTCAGACAGATTGCAGGCATTATCAATATTCTCAAAATGATGCAACAAACTTTTACTTTGTAAGACAAAGGCCCGTAGTAAACCCCCTCTTAGCTCAGAGTTCTGCGCTGACCCCCTCAGAAGAGATCCGTAGGCTAATCTTACGATCCCCTTGCTACTGTGCATTGAGAATGGACGACGCAGCTCACTGCGGCAGCTGACCAACCAAGGGGTCGGTCAGCTGCCGCAATGAGCTGCGCTGCCTGCCCCAAGCTAAGCCGTCGCTGTCGGCCTGGCTTACGGAGATAGCGTGTCTGCAAGGAGGCGCAGTCACAAATCCCGTAAGTTGCTCGTGAGTAACTTACGGGACGCGTCAGCTGGCTAATTCTGCGGACGACATGCCCAAAATTGCACAAATAGGGTGGCGTACGGATGGGGATAATCAATGAACAGCTGATTGCAGAAAAAATGGGATAGGTTTTTTCTACATATTCCGTTGGACTATGTCGATCAAAGCCTCATATTTCTCGAAGAATGCTTAAAGTAAAAATCAACTCTCTTTATCTTCCAATAATTGTGATTTTCTAAGGATGTTAATGCTGAGTTATTGTATCCGGTTTATGTCCTCGTTTGCGCAGCAAAGACAGCGCCCACCATTGATTTTTTTGATACTGGCTGCTATCGATGATTGCCCCGGCAAAAATGTCGGCACCCGCCGGTCGCGAACCCTGGTGCTGCCGCGTGCATCACACTAGCTTCAGCCATTTAACCAAACCCGCACAATGTCTCGAGCTGTTTGATCTTTGAAAACAGGCAGTTTCTTCATGACTACAAAACGATCCGCATCCCAATCGATGGCTCGCTTGACGCCGCGCTGAGGCGCCGTAAGGCCACCTAGACCGCCTCAAAGAAGTTGCACTGACGGGGGTTTACTACGGGCCAAAGTCCAAAACGATCTTACAGATAAAAAATTATCCAGAAACGTAACAATAAAATTCCTTTCAAAAATGAGCTTTTTGCGAATGAAACGCGAAATGGGCTTAGTCCATGCGGTTCAAGAAAACATCGCACTTGCAAAATCATTCATTCCATACAATAATGCTTTAGCAAACCGTTTTTCAGCTTGTCTAAATCTGTTTACTCATTCTTGTAGACTCATTCCTATCCTAGTTGATATCTAGCCAAACTAGACCTAACTTACAGTGCCAGTCTTGTAGATATTCAATTTTACCTCTCTTTGCAACTCACAATATGCCATTTAATGCCGACGACTATGCATTACACTCAAATAATAGGTCATTCCGAAAGTAACTTCGCTTTTTTCAAACGGGTACCACATGTGACGGAACAAAATTTTCTAAGAGATCTTGGAGGCATTCGATGCAGAATTTTATTCTCTTTCTAATGGTTATGAAATTGTTGTAAAACACTCAAAGATCTTTCAGAAAATAACCAAATTGTACGACCCATGCTTTTTGAGATGGCCAAGTTTCACGATTTTTTAAAACTTTCAATCCAATCTTCAGAAGGAGTTCAAGTAACGGTTCGATAGAGTAAACCTTACAGAATTCAGTATTGCTCTTTTCTCCTTTTCATAGCTTCTCATACATTTTTAACAGAATTTTAACTGATGCTACCCATTTCCATACTTGGGCAGCTAAATCCTCGAAGAACATCAGTGGAAGAGCAGCTCGGGCACTATTCGATGCAGCATTTTCTCCTCTTTCTAACGGGTGTTTTTTGTTTCCAATTCGTTTAGTTTTCGGAAATAAAATCATCATAACTCATTTTTCTAGCGAGCCCCAGGCTGTGTTCGAAAAACTCGGAATTCGATATTTCGAACCCGTAAACCCTCTCTTGCCTTGTAAATTAATGCTAACTCATAGTACCATATTGGTAGTCTCAAATTCCGAAAAATTTATGATGTTTGATGCGATTGTGGCTGAGGTGGGTCTGCCAAACTGGTTTATGGTTTATGGTTCTGTTTAAAAAAACTTTTAAAAAATTACAGCGGCCTACGAGAAAGAGAGAAAATTAGTACTGTATTCTATAAGGTTTACTCTATCGAATTGTTACTTGAACTTCTTCTGAAGATTGGATTGAAAGTTTTAAAAAATCGTGAAACTTGACCGTTGATTGTTTTGCAATAATTTTATGACCATTAGAAAGAGAATAAAATTCTGCATCGAATGCTTCCAAGATCTCTTAGAAAATTTTGTTCTGTCACATGTGGTGCCCGTTTGAAAAAAGCGAAATTACTTTTGGAATATACGAACTTGCGTTCGCATCGTTCTTTGGACCCTGAGGAATGCACGGCGCGCAAGGTGGGAATAGGCCCAAAGATTTCCCACGGCATAATGTTCTTTGATGGCTTATCAACCCATTTATCATGCTTGTTCTTACTTTGTTTATGTTCACAGTATATATAAGTAGTGGTTAGTCGCGTTGTACCATTTTATTTCTTTGCTTTCTTCTTACAGTTATTTGGTACTTTCAATGATTCATCTATTTTTAGCATATCTGTCAACATTCCCTCACAGGACCCTCACAGCGCAGTCACAGCCCCCGCACAGGACCCTCACAGCAACTCACAGCACATCCTTTTGACATATATGCATATTGTATTGTTTGTCTGTTGTTATCGTAGTCGCATTGTAGTCATTAGTTGCTTTTAGTAATGAAAGTTTAATTACCCAAGTTTGAGGTGTACTCGCTGTGCGTAAGTCCCGCGTGGCAGCCGATTGATCACAGTGCACACAACACACACACACTGACTCACCGATCTTACAAGTGGTGCATCGGCCAAACTGAGGTACGATTTGTTGCATACGAGTAACGCTTCCGACTAACAATTTGCACGTTACTCACGGCACCTCACAGGGTTTGGCACAGCTATTGCACAGCGAGTCACAGTCACCTCACAGGTCCCTCACAGTAAGAGTCACAGTTGCCGCACAACGAGTCAGAGTATCTCACAGAACTAACTCAACTAACCATGGCCAGCACAGTAAGATGCCTCAAAGGACTCGTCGCGAAAAGAAATGATGCAGCGATGAATTGGCTGCAGGACTCCATGCAAGCGCTCACGGGTATACAAGCCAAGGAAAGCGCAAGTAGGATAAAAACCTGCGAGAGGTACATCGAGCTTCTCGAAACGTCATTGACAAAGTTAACCAAGGCTTGATGAAGCTCCAGAGACCACAGAAGAGGAGGAGGACCACTTGCACAAGTACATAGAAAAGACCCAGGCAACAATAATGAAACTGCACGAGCGCAGGACACGGCTAGAAGAAACCCAGGAAGATAATGCCAGGGTTAACACAGACGGCACTACAAGCCTAGCTGCAGTCAACAAACTTCCGGCAATCCCTATCCCAACATTCACAGAAAGAAAATGGGAATGGGATAACTTCTGGGCCCTATACAAAGCCAATGTCCATAATCAGAAGCTGTCACAGTTGCAGAAGTTCAATTATTTGCTGGCATCCCTGAGTGGAGAAGCGAAACAATCGATCTCACGATTCTTCGTCTCAGCAAATAATTACAACAAGGCAATCCAACACCTCGTCAAGAGGTATGGCAATAAGGACGGCATTGTCTTAGAGTTGAATAGAAGCCTACACAACTGTGTAACAAGGGGACCCAGTACGACAGAACAGCGACGGTTATGGGATGAACTGTCAACGATAGCCGCACAACTAGAAGAACACGGTCAACGTCTTGATAATCAAATAACGATCCAGATCTTTCTTGAAAAGTTTAATCTGCGCATAAGGAAAGCGGCTATAGAAAAAAGACTGAGACACCAAGAGGAGCACCAGTCCGAGTGGACCTTAAACCAATGGCTTGATGCCATCAACAACGTTATTTCACAGGAAGAGCAACTGAACGATATACTTTCAGTCAAAGGACACCCAAGGAATTGCTCTTCAAGATGGAACGATAGATGGGAATTAGTTTGCGAATGCTGTGGAAGAAGCGATCACAGATGGACATTCTGCCCAGCCAGTCTCACAGCAGCACAGAAGAAAACGTTTCTTCTTGATTCCCGTAGGTGTCTAAACTGCGGATCTGCTGATCACAGAGTAGCGTTATGCTCGAGCGGCAACTGTAGAAAATGTCGTAGAAGGCACCACACCGCAATATGCACGGGAAGCACGCCACAGGAACCAAAAAGTCGTGGCAATTCAAACCAGCATGCAGCGACCAGGTCTAAGAAGGAAGAAATTGCACAGGGCACTTCTCCGATCGATGAAGAAGCTTCGAGAACTTCTGAGCCAGAAATTGCTACAGCCCTACTGAGTGGCACAGACAGGCTGCTAGCTCTTTGCATTCTGAAGGGAAAACAATGCACGGATTGTTGAAAAACTCTGACTCCAAACCACAGCATCAGGAAGCTCGAGACTATATGCAAATCATGAATCAGCTTTTCGAGACCCTTGTGCGGGAAGTGGAGAACGGATTCACAACCATCCGAGAAGAAATCAAAAGGCATCATGAGAGGACACAAGATGTAAACACTCACAGGGAGCACCCAGCCTTGGCAAGGACTATGAAGCCAATGGACAAAGTGAGGGGAGGACATGTCAAGGATCGCAAACACTGGAGAAGATCCCTTACGACTGAGCATACGAACTCCATTCGTATCAATCTACGCACCCTTTGAGACACGGAGCAAAGCATAGCAACGCGAGAGAGAGCACTTCCGATGAGAAACACGGACAGGGTCAGAGGCAAGCCCATACACGTCCCAAGAATAGCACAGTGGATAAAAATCGGAAACTTGCACGACGAGAAGAGCCACAGACTACTGGTAGAAAAGCAGTAACAGTTTTGGAGCGTGAGCAAAAACTTGGTGAAACTGCAAAAGACATGGTACACAGCACACAATTCGGAAACGAAGTACCACGGCTAAAAGTATGGTGTCAGACTACTCTTTGCGCACCGTGGCAGGGTGCGTTTTACGAGAGGGTTACTTGCTGCATCAAGAGAACGTTGTACTACGCGCTCGGAGTGCTAGCCATGGCTTTCTACGGACCCAGGATGACGCTCACACAAATGGAAGATGTCGAAACCTTGACGGTGCCCACGAAAGCGGTACCAGTTACAAACGCAGGGAAAAGGAGGACCGAAAAAATCACCAAGATCGAGGATTCTCCACGGAAGCCAAAGATATCTGCAGTGGTAACTCCCAATAAACGTGAATTGCGACGACCGTTGAATGAAGTTGAGCCACTGGAGATGAATGGACAATATCCTACAGTTCAAGAGCCAAATGGCAAAACCACTCGTTGTGACGCCAACCAAGGAAAGAATCAACCAAAAAGAAACACAGTTACGATCATCGGCACGGTAGCCAAAGGGCACAATGGCTACCACGACTATTTCGTCATCAACGGTGATGCTATAGGGGCCTGCAGGATCGCGAGAGTCGGACGTGCGTACGGCCATTGCGCCGCGCACGTCGTATGTCACTGGGTCGTACTCGATTTAGGCTGGATAGGTGAGATTTTTTTGTTTTTCTTCTCATTTCTCGCCTTCTTTTCTTTTCAGGCGGCGAACATATGTTGGTGCAGAGGAGCTTAAGATCTAGATTAAGGCCGCGTGCATCACACTAGCTTCAGCCATTTAACCAAACCCGCACAATGTCTCGAGCTGTTTGATCTTTGAAAACAGGCAGTTTCTTCATGACTACAAAACGATCCGCATCCCAATCGATGGCTCGCTTGACGCCGCGCTGAGGCGCCGTAAGGCCACCTAGACCGCCTCAAAGAAGTTGCACTGACGGGGGTTTACTACGGGCCAAAGTCCAAAACGATCTTACAGATAAAAAATTATCCAGAAACGTAACAATAAAATTCCTTTCAAAAATGAGCTTTTTGCGAATGAAACGCGAAATGGGCTTAGTCCATGCGGTTCAAGAAAACATCGCACTTGCAAAATCATTCATTCCATACAATAATGCTTTAGCAAACCGTTTTTCAGCTTGTCTAAATCTGTTTACTCATTCTTGTAGACTCATTCCTATCCTAGTTGATATCTAGCCAAACTAGACCTAACTTACAGTGCCAGTCTTGTAGATATTCAATTTTACCTCTCTTTGCAACTCACAATATGCCATTTAATGCCGACGACTATGCATTACACTCAAATAATAGGTCATTCCGAAAGTAACTTCGCTTTTTTCAAACGGGTACCACATGTGACGGAACAAAATTTTCTAAGAGATCTTGGAGGCATTCGATGCAGAATTTTATTCTCTTTCTAATGGTTATGAAATTGTTGTAAAACACTCAAAGATCTTTCAGAAAATAACCAAATTGTACGACCCATGCTTTTTGAGATGGCCAAGTTTCACGATTTTTTAAAACTTTCAATCCAATCTTCAGAAGGAGTTCAAGTAACGGTTCGATAGAGTAAACCTTACAGAATTCAGTATTGCTCTTTTCTCCTTTTCATAGCTTCTCATACATTTTTAACAGAATTTTGACTGATGCTACCCATTTCCATACTTGGGCAGCTAAATCCTCGAAGAACATCAGTGGAAGAGCAGCTCGGGCACTATTCGATGCAGCATTTTCTCCTCTTTCTAACGGGTGTTTTTTGTTTCCGATTCGTTTAGTTTTCGGAAATAAAATCATCATAACTCATTTTTCTAGCGAGCCCCAGGCTGTGTTCGAAAAACTCGGAATTCGATATTTCGAACCCGTAAACCCTCTCTTGCCTTGTAAATTAATGCTAACTCATAGTACCATATTGGTAGTCTCAAATTCCGAAAAATTTATGATGTTTGATGCGATTGTGGCTGAGGTGGGTCTGCCAAACTGGTTTATGGTTTATGGTTCTGTTTAAAAAACTTTTAAAAAATTACAGCGGCCTACGAGAAAGAGAGAAAATTAGTACTGTATTCTATAAGGTTTACTCTATCGAATTGTTACTTGAACTTCTTCTGAAGATTGGATTGAAAGTTTTAAAAAATCGTGAAACTTGACCGTTGATTGTTTTGCAATAATTTTATGACCATTAGAAAGAGAATAAAATTCTGCATCGAATGCTTCCAAGATCTCTTAGAAAATTTTGTTCTGTCACATGTGGTGCCCGTTTGAACCGGAGCATACGAACTCCATTCGTATCAATCTACGCACCCTTTGAGACACGGAGCAAAGCATAGCAACGCGAGAGAGAGCACTTCCGATGAGAAACACGGACAGGGTCAGAGGCAAGCCCATACACGTCCCAAGAATAGCACAGTGGATAAAAATCGGAAACTTGCACGACGAGAAGAGCCACAGACTACTGGTAGAAAAGCAGTAACAGTTTTGGAGCGTGAGCAAAAACTTGGTGAAACTGCAAAAGACATGGTACACAGCACACAATTCGGAAACGAAGTACCACGGCTAAAAGTATGGTGTCAGACTACTCTTTGCGCACCGTGGCAGGGTGCGTTTTACGAGAGGGTTACTTGCTGCATCAAGAGAACGTTGTACTACGCGCTCGGAGTGCTAGCCATGGCTTTCTACGGACCCAGGATGACGCTCACACAAATGGAAGATGTCGAAACCTTGACGGTGCCCACGAAAGCGGTACCAGTTACAAACGCAGGGAAAAGGAGGACCGAAAAAATCACCAAGATCGAGGATTCTCCACGGAAGCCAAAGATATCTGCAGTGGTAACTCCCAATAAACGTGAATTGCGACGACCGTTGAATGAAGTTGAGCCACTGGAGATGAATGGACAATATCCTACAGTTCAAGAGCCAAATGGCAAAACCACTCGTTGTGACGCCAACCAAGGAAAGAATCAACCAAAAAGAAACACAGTTACGATCATCGGCACGGTAGCCAAAGGGCACAATGGCTACCACGACTATTTCGTCATCAACGGTGATGCTATAGGGGCCTGCAGGATCGCGAGAGTCGGACGTGCGTACGGCCATTGCGCCGCGCACGTCGTATGTCACTGGGTCGTACTCGATTTAGGCTGGATAGGTGAGATTTTTTTGTTTTTCTTCTCATTTCTCGCCTTCTTTTCTTTTCAGGCGGCGAACATATGTTGGTGCAGAGGAGCTTAAGATCTAGATTAAGGTGAGGTGCAGAATTATGCTCAATACGGGCCAATATTGTGGACTTTTCACCCCTGCTTTGAAGAATGTTGAGTTTTCTGTTCTGGCTGTCCGATTATGTTCGATTTTTCGTCCTGCCTGCCCGGTTACGAAACTCCGTTTTATTTGCAACGTCTGTTCTACCTCATCTTGCATCATGCGCGTCATCACAATCATAATCATTGTCATCATCATCATCATCACA